CTGCCCTTCACTGCAGCGCAGGACATTGTTGTGGTGGGGTGGTTACTCGCTTTCTCGGCGTGCTTCCCTCCTCGCGTACTCGCACCTCCCCCTGCGATTGGCAAGCTTTTGTCAATGCAGGGGCCTTCGAGAAAAGTTTTAGCGCGTCTCCATCGCCCTCGCGATAACCGCCGTTTTAAATGTTAATTAAAATACCCGACTTGGCGAGAAAGTCTCGGCCCAGGATTAGAGACATTGACAGCCCAAGAAGATGCATAAAACGCTGTCGCCTCATGCATCTATCCCAGCAGATCACTAGCCTAGCCGCGCCGCTCGATTGTGCTGTGCCCGTAGTAAGGCAGAAAATGGTGTTGCTTTGTCTCAAGGGGATATTCTTCTCGCAGAGATGGTGCAACACGTCAGCGCCGAACGAAGAGGCGCTTGTCCCGGTATCCAAAAGTGCTACGGACTTATTTCGAGCTATCATTATCTTGATTAGCGGTGCGGGCGAGTTTACGGCCGCACCTGCGCGACAGACTGACGGTGAAAGTGGCCCGAACGCATCGGTGGAATAACTCGTCGCCGCGCAGGGTCCGATGTAGATCCCTGGCGGCGCCGTCCGTTTCCCAAACCGCGCGTTTGCTCCTGACCCCGTGTGCGGTCGCATTCGCGGGCGATGTGCCCCGGCACGCTGCACCGATAGCAAGGACCGCGGACACCATGCCGGGCTGATCGTAAGTCGCGTCGCCTCGATCAGGTGGTCCTCATTCTGGGTTTCTCCGCTCGTTAGGCCTCGTGTCAACCGGGCGCTCCTGCCTTGAAATGTCACGCGCGGGGGCGGCATGGGCTGTACGAAGCGCGTCAGTGTAGGGGTCCAAAGCGCGGCCTGACAGCTCCCAATCGCGTGGTACCTGCTCATCAGCGGATGCCGACGCGTTACTTCTAAACGCTTCTTAAACTACCGCGCGGCCATTCCACGCACAGCGAGGCTCGATTGACTACATGATCGTGCAGCGAGGATGTCCCCTTGTATGCGTTTCGCCTCGGTGGGGAGCTCTTCTAGGTCTGCGAACTTACATTCCCTGAAGTGCGCCGCAAAAGTCGGGTGCACTTGACGCGTAACGCGCCCCACTTTTTCCGCCTTGGTGGCGTGAGGGTTAGCGAGACAATACAGTATGTCCATTGCCTGTACATACTCCAGCAAGAATTCGTTCGGATGCTGAATGCGTAGCTCCAATTCCCTTCGCAAACGCCACTCATAATTAGCCGGTAGAAATTCGCCGCGGAAGCTGTGGCGGAACTCTTCTACAGTGTGGACGCAATGTCTAAGTAGTCGGAACCACCAGGCCACTTGCTCCGTGAGCGACACCGGGACCACGCGCTCGAGAAGTTCTGCGTCAGAAAGCCCTATCACCTGCTAATAATGGAGCAACCAATCGAGAATGAAATTTCACTGTCTTCTGACATAACCGGCAAGAAAACGAATACTGATAGAGTGCTTTCAAAAGTGTTCTGGTACACGAGAAATAGCTGGCCTGCACATGTCACTGATAGTGAATTAAAACCAAACTTTGTTCGCCGGTATGAGCTATCGGTAGATCAGCAGTGCAGTACGTGGGGAAATCAGGTAATTGTTCCGCACTGTTTTCGTAAACTAGTATTGGCACTTCGTAATGAAGGTCCTTTCGGAGCGACGTGTATGAAAATGCTCGCGCACAGCTATGCTTGGTAGCCTAAGTTAACCCAAGATATTGAAAGTGTTGTTAAAAGTTGCTGTACTTGTTAGTTGATGCAGAACACTTTACCAATGGCTGAACAACAAACTTGGGGTTGGCTGAGCCGCAGATGGCAGCAAATCCACCTGGCTTTTGCATTCGCAAACAAGTGGCTCCTCGTGCTAGTGGATGCACACTCCAAGGGGGTAGAGGTGTTTGTGATGAATTCAACAACGACCGAAACGACCGTCGAGAGGCTGCATGGGGTGTTAAAATCGTATGGCCTACCAGAGGAGGTTGTTATGAACAATAGGCCTCAGTTCACAGCAAAGAGTTTCACAGAGTTCCTGCTTAAGAACAGAGTGTGGCACACTAGAGCACCTCAGCACCACCTTGCGTCTAATTGAAGCGCCGAGAGATGCGTCCAGACGGTGAAACGGGATCTTCACGACAGCTTCTCGATGAAAAGTCACCGGGTAAGACCCCACAGCACCGCATAGATTTTTTTCTGTTCAGGTACTGGAACAAAAAGAGGGTCCGAAAGAGCTTACGAAAAGGGGGAAAGTGTTCTGGTTCAAGGCCTTCGTCCAGGTAATTCCAAGTGGCTGATAGGTGTCATCGAAAAAAGGTGCAGTGCCGTTACGTACCTTGTGTGCGTAGGATGCGAAAACAGGTTCATGCATGTAGACAATTTACGTTCGCGCTACTTCAAGAGTGTCGAAGAAGGCCCCAGTCAGCGTCTCTGTTTCGTGCCAAGCTAAAAATTCCAGACCCTGGGTCTGAAGCCCCTTCTATGAGCCCCTGTCCCCTTCGTGTACGTGCATCCCCAGGTCTGCTATTGCACCACCGGAGCCACCCGGAGACTCTGCTTTCTCAGAAAAACCAAATGGGAGTCCACATCAAGGCTTTGCCCCAAAGCAGCGTCTCTTCTGCGAATACCTGCGTTCCCTCTAGGTGCTCAGACTCTTCGATGCAGTGCTTGTGCAAGGAAACCTCCCGATTGATATAGGCCATAAACATTTTGGGATGGAGTGTGGAGCCCATGTGACATCACGCTGATAGCGCCGATGAATCATAGCTATACAAGCGCTGTGAACCGGGCGCTCAGTGTTCTTTTCTGCTGAGTATTCATGCACTAATAAACTGTTTCACTTTTCTACGTTCACGGCCACTCTGGCTCTGCTCGTCCCTCGAGGCTACAACAGTAACTGCTACCATGCTTTTTTTTTTTATTGGCGCCAGTATGCCCAACGGCACAAGCATGCTTTTGATCAGACAACAGTACTTTACAATCCCAAGGGTTTTGTACAGAGATTGATTGTAGAGGCCTTCGATATCCAGAGGGAGGGGCTGAATGGCATGTCACCCCTCCACGGTTGGCTGGAGAAGAAGAAAGCCTTTTTAGAACGTCCTTGCCGCAGGCATGCTGAGCGCAAGATTTATAATATTGTGTTGACTAGTTGGGTTTGATAAGACTGCACGATAATTTAAATATATCTTTCTTGAATAAAATATTTCAGTTGCTAGTAGCGCATCATCTGTGCTCTTCTTTTCCTAGTGTGCCGCATTTGCATGCTTCTCTGTTTATGATGAATGAACTCCAGCTTGCTTAACTTTTTACTTTACTAGGAATGCTCACCTGAAGGTTTCCCAGGAGGGCACTGATGGCCAATGATGGTTTTACAATCCACGGCTGCACTACAAAGTTTTCCCAGAGCCACAGAGAGTAAGGTTGAAGGCTCCCACGAGGCCAGGTTTCGAGTTCGTACCAACACTACTATCCAGTGGCATGCTCAAATGCTGCCATCTTCACTGTGTGTAGGAAGCAATGTTGACAGGTTAGAAAGAGCAGTAACTTGAACTGGAGCTGCAGCCCATTGTGCCATATGCAGGAGCTGCTGAAGTAAACCTACAGCAACTCTGTACTTTGGGTCGCATCCAAGCTCGACGGAAGTAGCCTTATGTCCGGGCATTGCCTGGGCACTGCGGAGCTTGGGAATGGCAACAGAAGTGTCGTTGAATGGTTTAGGGCTATATCTTAAATGAAACGTTTCATTACTTCTTCCTTCAACACGGCGGTGTCTAGGTCTCGACGAGCAAACTCTTCACAGAGGAAGTCCACTCTAAAGATGGCTAGGTCCTCCGGCGTAGCCTCGCTTCAATTCATGAGTGGCATGGCCTTCACTACGTCCTACTTATACTTACTAAGTAGTACAAGTCACAAGAGACGAAAAGGTGGGCAGGTCAAACCGTTTCAGCATGCAGACACGCTACTTCATCAGGCAGGTAGGTGGGCATCAGCACGATGATCACAGAAACAAAGGGCAAAGGCACAAAATGACTTGCATTAAGCGGACGACAGACGCAAAAGACTGAGTGCTGTGCAGCGGGTCTGATGAATCACTTCACAAGACATGCAAAAAGCGACATTTCATGCGTGGTTCGGTGTCGACTGTGCCAGTTGTGAGGAGTAGGTGGGCAAGGCACAAAGGCTGAGGCATAGTAAATAGAGAAAAACATGCTTTATTTGAATGTGATAGAAATGGGGTCGACCACACTGGAGGAGGGAACAAGAGTAAAATGTGTCTTCGGCCCCCTTTGGTCCTGCAGCTGAGCTGCCGTAATGGCCCCGCAGGTGGCGTTATTGATTAGCTAGGTCACTACACCACCGTGCGTGCAGGTGCTCGATTGTCTTGAAGTGGCAATTGAAGCGTGATTGTGGCACTTCAAAGTATTCTAGCACGCTGTATTTCAGTAATCTGTAAATGTAACGGTATGGAAAGCTGGGTGAGTTGGTTTGACGACATTCCTAGAAACATTTCCACGCACACACAGTGGACAGGAAAACGGAAACATTTGTCTGTCTTTTCGCCTTCCGTTTTCCTGTCCACTGTGTGTGTGCCGAAATGTTTCCAAGAACATCTGTAAATCAGTGGCTATACTGTGATGTCCACTCTCAATGGGGTAAACTGAAGCACTAAGTTTCGTTTTGATGGTGGGAGTACACCCTGGGCATCGACTAGCTGAGTTTTGAGGAAATGTAGCAGGATTTAGCAGCCAATGCAGTTTTACACAATTGGTGCAGTGGTAGCATCACTACTTCCGTGTGCACACAAATCGTACTGCCAGGAAAGATGAACTCCATACTCTTTGAGTAGTGCCATCTTACTCTGCTGTGTAATATTATTGCATACAAACATGCATTTTTTTTGCAACATTAAAACGAGAATGCTTACTTAACTAAAACAATGCATCAAAGGGAAAAAATTAGGTTTAAAGACGTTGAACCCATTGTCGCATACTCACCTCATCAAGCCTACGCTCAAGATAAGCGACCAGTGCAGCCACTGAATCCACATTGTAGCCTTCGAAACTGCACTCTTCGCCAGGGTTTGCTTCTGTTAGTAGCTCCGCATAGAATGGACGTGGAACGCTGGATAGAAGGTGCACTACTTGTCTGCAGAAAATATAACACAATGCTCTGAAAGTAATTTTCAGCATCAGTGTTTTCACAGCACGTCTAGCAACAGACAACTCAAAGGTCGCCTCATTTCTTACGCCAGTGACTTTGTTGCATAAGCTAGCGGACACCCAAAGATCTGCTTTCTGGCCCTATTTTAAATTTCAACATTCCAATCTGTAGCGATTGCATTCAATGTTTCACTCATGGGGCAAAACTACGCCAGTAATTGAGAAGATAAGCAATGCTCACCCATGTAGTTGGTCTTTGGCCTCAGCACTGGTGACGTCACACAGAAGAAGGTCATGCAGGAGGCCCACTAAGCGTTCGAAGTGAACTTCATCTTCCTGTATGCATGCCAAGTGAAGTGCGACAAAAGTAGTTTGTTTGATTTTTTTTTTGTTATTCATCTATTTGTTTCGGCATAAGTACTTCAAAAGCAAACACGAAGAAGTAAAAAAAAACACTAGGAACACTGTTTTGAAGAATGTAATAAAGAAAAGAAACATGTACAAGGTAATAAAAGCCCTTTCAGTTGAGAACAGTACTACAGTTGTATACTACATTAGTATTACAATGACTGTGCTATGCAAGACGACAATGAAATTCTGAAACAGGAGTATGCATTACTCACTTCCCAAGAGAATGTCAAAGAGATTGGAGGGAATTGCAAGTTCTTTCCCAGTTTCTGCAGTTGCAGCTCAATTGCCAGAAGCATAGAAAAACTGAAATTTAATATGTTCACAATGCAAGAAGCATGTGCAGCAGTGTGGCTACAATGCTTTCATAAGAATTTATATCGATATCTATATAAATGACCGCTGGAAAACAAACTGTTCTGTTTGTCCCTGGCTAAGATGGCGGCAGCCAAGATAATTGTAGAAAAGAGCCATGTGATTAGCTTATGTCATTGGATCACCACAAGAACTTCCAGTTCTCCAATCCTAGCAATCAGCAAGAAAGCAAGAAGGTACCATATTTACTCGCATAATTTGCGCACTTTCTTTTGCTATTTTGGAGCCCAAATAAGGAGGTGCAAAAGTTAGGCGGGGATTTCGTGAGGGCTACGAAATATTTTGTCACAGTCCTAATGCGTGCAACATATATGTCTAAAATAACTGGAGCAGAAACGAAGTGTACTTGTTAATTTAGAAGATTTAGTATATACTATAACCAGTCAGATCCGGTCATGCTCGATGTAGTAGGAATCATTGATCGCAAAGTCTGATTGGGAGTCATCGTCGCGGCCGCTGCCACCGCCCTCCCCAAGCGCATTATTCTTGGTTTTGTCGAGTGCTTCGAATGCCCCATTTTCTTGAAGCTCTTTGCAACAATAGTGTGAGAAAGTAGGTGCCACGACACGGTGATACCGGGTCACTTAAGCGTTCGCACATAATTGAAAAGGCTTTCTTCAGTGACAGGAAACTTGCATTAGAAGGCGCGCACTCCTCTGCTTTCTCGTATACCGATCACCTCGATTGTCGCACGCAGAAGTAAGTCACCTTAAAATGCTTTGCGAAGGTACGGTTTTGATTTTCTTTTGCAAAATTTACAACAGCGAGCTTCAATTTCACCGTGTATATAATTACTAATTACTGTAGCACATCGCAAGGGAACTATAAAAACACGTCGGCCGGATGCCAAAACCTAAACTTCGGAAATCGACCAAGCATGCGTTGCAGCGCGGATGCAGAAAACGAGGGGAATGGTTAGTGCGACAGGCCTTAGAGTTCACATGCCTCCAATCCAGAAAGTTGTCCGTGCCGTGACAGGAGCGGGCATTCTCGAGGCAGTAGAGGTGGAGATATAGAGGGAGGCAAACGCTCGAGCAGTTCTGCCGAATCGCCAGCAGCTAGGTTTGAGTATTCCCTAGTTCGGGAGAACTTCTCGGAAGAATGAACTGTGTATTTGCAGCCTGTTTGACTACGCTTGTCTGCCCGTCAAGGGGCGCACCCATTCCAAGCATTGGAAAGTCTCTTCGTACGCACGCCAGCCAGCTGGCTCAATTGGGTTGGGGAGTAAATAATGTTTTTTTAGCAAAGCTGCCAAATATTAGGGGTGCGCAAATCATGTGAGTTCAACATTCACTAGATGCCTATGAGACATTTTTCTCTCAAAGCTGGGTTTCTGCCTCTTCTGCCACAAATCTCACCTAGAAACAGTACAAAAAGAGTTACCTGGTATTGATGAAGTGGCCCGGCTAGGATTTGCAGTTAGGTGCATTTTACAAAACATAACTAAGCTTAAGAGTAGCCAAACCAGTCCTACCTTTTAATTTTATTGTCGATAGAACAGAAGTGGTATAACAACTGTAGTTATTAATAAGCATTCCAGGATCAAATATGTACATGTACAGCATCGGCTAACCAGAAGACTGTCAAAGATATACATGTATTTTTAGAAAACTCACCTTTTGGATCATTTTTCTATCTTGGCATGTGCTTCTACAATGCAGAATAAATTTTTTTCTTGCGCCAAAATATCTGTTCTTTTTATTTTTTCTTCTGCTTCACTAAAGTGGTGCACAGGCTCGCTTCAGTTTTGTTTTTCAGCCAGTTCCCGCTTGCTGTGCCCGCAAAACTAATGGCTTTCCAGTTTAGATTCTTTCAAATGGTGATCCATTTGTACTATTTCATTTATCGCTCCCTGGCATGTACTAAAATTAAGCCTGTTTTTATTTAACGCACACATCTTGGCGTCATACTAAAAAAAGCCAGGGTCAGCAAGCATACAGATATACAACCCTTGAAATTATGCCGGTCACATATGTATCTGTAAGCACCACTTTTAAATCAGTGATGCTGGGTGCTTAACCCTGAGTGCTGGTAAGCTATCAGCTGTTTCTGGTATGGAAATTGATCTTTTATGGATTATACATGAGATACTAAAAGCTTTCAACAGGCATTGCAGAAAATAGAACCAGCGATAAATTCCTGCTGATGCATCACCCACACGAGTAGCTATGGTGCTTGCTTGCCAAAAAACTGCAGCAGTATGCACATCAGCATAACAGAGATTGATTTTAGAAAAATTAAGAATGTAGCATGCCTCTTCCACATGGAACTTGTCAAGACCGCAGGTGAGGTTGTAAAGCACCTTCAGCACTTCGGCTGCCAGTGAAGCATCCTCAGCGCTGAGCACAGGAGTGGTCCCTATGGAATCATCCCCCCCAGCGTGACGCCCTCGACGGCTGTGGCGCATGCACCGCTTAAGCCCTGCACACACAGGCAAAAGCGTACCCACAATTCAGAATGCTTTTAAAAGTAGTTTTGAGCAGCATAATTTGGAATATTTGGGGAATTAGAAAAAATGTTTTAGTTTTCTATAACAAGAATTTATTTTATTAGCAGCCCACAAGTTCAGGGTCAACCAGTCAATACGCTGTCACAGACAGCTTGACAGCATGCGGAGGCAAGAAGGAGCAATGAGCTATTACTTTTCCGTAATTCTGAGCATTCTGTAACAATGATTATGACAAACACAACGTGCTAGAAGACAGGTACAGCATACATGAAGAAAACAATAACAGAAATATGAAAGAAAAAAAGAACTAATATGAATCTTATGAAACGTGCATGTAACGTTGAACAGCTACTTTATGGTAATCCATGACAAAGAATGAACACAGAAATTAAATCAAGCACTCAGTCATTTCATTAAAAATAAAAAAAAAACCACCATCTATATACATGTATATACCCACATGTGTGATCGCACAATGAGTTCTGTGCTCAAGGTGCAAAACATTCACCTTCACTGCAAGGCAGCATTAACAAATAAGCGCATAACCCCTTGTGCAATGCAAAATACGTATATGATGTGCAGGGGGAGGTAGTAAATAGGATAACTGAAAATAAAAGTTTGCCTAGCAACTATCAGCATCACAGTGTGGCACCTCAGCAGTAGCTCACAAGGGAAAAGATAAGGAGGGATTAAAAGGGATGGAGAGAGAAGTAAAGATTGAGAGAAAAATAAAAGATTGGAAAGTGGCTAGAGATGTCGGTAGAGTGGCTAGAGACGACGGCGCACAAGAAGAGGAGAGTCATTCGAGTGCACGAGCATCAGCTATGTAGACGCCAGAGACTGGTCAGAGAAAAGCTAGTGGCATGTGACCCGAGCAGAGAAGAAAAATTCCAGAGTATGAGCTGGTACTGTGTGTAGGGACGCCGAGCTGTGAAGACGTGAGAAATGAGCGTCGCTACCGCCACGGGAGCAGCATGACCACCCTGTTCTGAAAAATGTCGGCACGAAGAGCTCGTGAAGTGGCTGTCGACCTCGGAGATGGTCTTGAGTGAGGCTGCCCGGACTTGCCGCATCCTGCCCAGCAGTTCCTAGTAGGCTTGCAGCTTCCCCTCATCACATTAGGAAGGGAGCAGCCCACACCAGTCAGTTGAGTGGCCGCGTCAGCGAGGGAGTCCTTGATGAGCGGGGTCTAGTGAGGCCAAAAATGGAGACATGGATCAAGACACCGGCAGTGCAGATGAGTGGATCGTGAAGCGGACGCGCCCCAATGACGATAACGGCGAGGTGGTACCACTTCGTCGTCATTTGAACCGTAAGAATGTTCCATTATTGCGAGAACGCATGAGATGCCATCTTGGCTAGGAATCTGCACAATGTGATCCAAGGACACTTTGGAATCTACTGCCGAGACTACGGGTGCGTGCCCCCTTTGAGCGTTGCGAGGTAATAGGCAAGCACCACTCACAGGCCACGCGTGAGATAATTGAAGTCTATCACATAAGCAAGTTTGACGGTATATGTGTAAGTTCCCCACGAGTTGTGCTATTGAAGAAAGAGATTGCGTATCTTGATCATTTTTAAGCTAGGCATTTGTTCAATCAACAAGAGACAAGAGTATTGCTGATATTGTTTCGCAGTAATTCTAAACTGCACCCTTTGCGCGTGCCCATTTTCCTCTTTTTTTTTGCCTATATATGTACACCACTCCGATATTAAACCGTTATTGAAAGTCAGCGCTCTTTTCTATTCTTGTATCTTTGCTTCCATAATTACACTGTAACTACTTCTAAGTTGCGCTGTTCGTATGTTCAGTTACAACTCTTGGCCAGCTCGGCCAATGAGGCCCGCCCTTCGTCGGTGGCCATAACATCGGCCATCGTGAGGCTATTGTCAATCCCCATGGGGGACAAGCGCTAGATAGGTGGCGCGCCAAAAAAGAGCACCTGGCGGAGAGTAGTGACACAACTCAGCTGCTCGCGCACAGACGACCGGCCACAGTGTACCACTCCGAGAGCATGCACGTGCGCCGCTGCCGTGCTGTATTTTGGAACAAACAGCTCGAAAACCATTGCACCACTAATACTGCACCGTGGTTTAGAAAAAACTTTGTCCGAAGGCTACTCTCACATAAAAAGCACTACCTGTGGCAGCCTAGCGAGTGTGGTGTAGAGCTGCTATTCTTGAGGGCATAGGATAGACTAGCGACCACGGCGGCCGCATTTCGATGGGGTGAAATAGAATAAGAATACCCGTGAACCAAGATGTATGCTGCGTATTGGAGAACCCTAAGTGGTCACATTTTTGTTATGCACATTACAGTGCGCCTCAAAATGATATCTTGTTTGGCATATGAAAGCCTAGCAATTATCGATGTTGAACAAACACCTTCATTTTGGCCGACACAGGCAAACGCGAAAACTGAAACTGTGTGTTAGGCAAACTAAACGAGTGAAAATTGAGCACATTTGATACTTCCCTAGCAAGGCATAAATTCCGATGTTATTTATTGACGGCAGAAAGTGAAAAAAAAACGCTTACTGCATTGGCTGATTCCAGAAAGCTATGCTTCGAGCAGTCCACTGCTTTGTTCGTAATGAGAACCCTGTCTTTGTTCATAATGAGAACCTGGTTCACCACAAGAGTATCTTTTATAACAGCTCAGAGGCGTAGGGGAATGTGGCTCCGCACAAGTCTTGTGGACAAGGCAGCTTTCCTTTACACGCAATTAAAAAAAAAAAAAAAAACACTACCTGCCTATCGTATCATTCACTTCACGCGGTGTCATCAGATGGAGTTCGATAGTGGGGGTCAGATAGATGGATGCAATGACCCCCACTAGATAGATGGAAACATTGTTAGTCCTGAAGTGAACGACTCAACGTTCAGCGGGCCAGATAAAAAAAAAGTTTCCATATACCATATGTTGCATAATACGCTCGTTTTATTTCCGGCGAAATGCTGTTTAAACTCGACTGTTTGGCCCTGGATTTGCCCCGCCGCGGTGGTCTAGTGGCTAAGGTACTCGGCTGCTGACCCGCAGGTCGCGGGTTCGAATCCCGGCTGCGGCGGCTGCATTTCCGATGGAGGCGGAAATGTTGTAGGCCCGTGTGCTCAGATTTGGGTGCACGTTAAAAAACCCCAGGTGGTCGAAATTTCCGGAGCCCTCCACTACAGCGTCTCTCATAATCATATGGTGGTTTTGGGACGTTAAACCCCACATATCAATCATCATGTTTGGCCCTGGATTCTACTAGTAGCAGTCTTCACTATCAAACAAATATAGCAGATACGCGTCATTCGGTTTAGAAACTAGCCCGAGAGCACTAAAAAGCAGAGCAAGAGCAGAATTTCGCTCGCCTGACTGATTGGATGCAACGCCGCCCCCTGTTCCTAAGTTTTCCCTTTTCTCAATACGTCCTCTCTCTCTTTATATTGACACGTGGGTTTCTGGTTGTTGCGTGGCTAGTGCCATCATTACTTGTGCGTGTCGAAGGATTTGGTCGGCAGAAAGAGGACGACGAACTTGCGTTGCTCGTTCGAAGCTGTTCCGCTGTTTGCTACACTGTGACTTGCACCAATTTTATTACCGTGACAAACTGGTGGAGGTGCCGGGTACAATCCCAATTCGCTAGTTTTAACTCAAGCCGCTTCAAGCTTCTGCCACCATTAAAACAATTCCAGAGGAAAATCTGGCACTTCGCCTCAGCCGCCGCTTGCTAGGACTACTTCTTGAACTTGGTCCCTTGTACTTGGCAAGAATGACCACCACAACGGCAAGTCAGACGCAAGAGAGCAATGTAGACCAACTCGCATCCACCCCAAGCGTCGCCCACACAGCACGCACCCCGAAGCCAATTCATGGTGATGTATTTGAGGACGTCGATGACTGGCTAGACCACTTCGATCGGGTCGCAGCCGCCAAAGAATGGAAAGACACCATGAAGCTTCGCTACGTCTATTTCCCACTTGAAGACTATGCTCGCATCTGGTATGAAGACCATGAGCCGTCTATCACCAACTGGCAAGAATTTCAGTGACAGCTATGCCAGGCATTCAGAAAACACTAAAGAAAAGAAAAGGCCGAGCAGGCTCTGCAGAGCCTGGTTCAGAAGCCAAATGAAAACATGGCTATGTTTGTCGAAGACATGTCATGCTTGTTCAAGCGCGCTGACCCAGGGATGGATGAAACAAAAAAAGTTCGACTCCTCCTGTGGGGTGTCAAGAAGCAACTTTTTGCTGGACTCATACGCAAGCCCCCAACCACTGTCGATGAGTTCATCCTGAAAGCTACTACCATGAAACGGGCACTTCAGCAGCGCTCTCTACAGTATGACCGCCAAGCTACTGTTGCGGCGGTGTCACCTTTCACCTGTGGACAGGACTTATTAGCACTCCACGAGGTCGTGCGGAGCGTGATCCGCGAGGAGGTCGAAAAAGTCCGTCCCACTTCTGCTCACCCAAGTGCGACGATTCTGGGAGACATAATTCGCGATGAACTCAGGAATGTGACCCAACCATTGCTCCCATCGGGTTTCGCCAAACTTTTGGTTGGAGTCTATAATATCTCCCATTGTTCCCAATGCGTGCGGAAGTGCCTGCTCTGCCTTACGCCGAAGCATTGAGGAGTCCTCAACCTTCTACCAGACGCCGGCCACCCTCTACTTTCTCACTATCGTCCCGTCAATTCGCACCTGCAAATAACTATGAGAGGGCTTTCCAGTATGATGATCCGCGTGAAGTCACCTGTAAATCTGACGTATGACACACCTCTGACAACAGGCCTCTTTGCTGCCACTGCGGTGAAGAGGACCATCTATACTGCCGGTGTGCGTGTCGCAGGATGGGCCTTCAGGGGTTTCACCCTAACGTGCGTCGACTCAGCAACCGGGAGCTTCCTCGTGAGATTCAGCAATACCCAGCAGCGCAGCAGCCGCTTCCTCCTGCACAAAGCCACCAGCCACGCTCATCTTCT